CAACAACTTAGTGAAAGTAATGTGTTGTTTTATGTAACATTTGTTATATGAATTTTGTAGAAAATCTTTTAAAAAGAAGACCTAGGAGAGTAAAAACCACAGATGCAGAAGAGGAAGAGGTAAGTGAAAAGATTGATTTCACCAGAGACATCAAGGTCCTATATACAATTTTGATGAAATACAAAGATTGCTCCAAGAAATAGAACCAAGCTTGAAGGGTTTTTTTGACCAACTCTATTTAGCAGCTCAGCTATTTGAATGTAATGGACCATATGAAGAGCTTAATGGTGGTGTTCATGTGTTATCTTCTTCTTGCTTTAAATAACACAAAAATTAACTCTTTTAAGTTTGAACTTGCATTCTATTTAGACTCGGTAGATACAAGGCTTGGAGTAACTACAACATCAAGAGCAGTAGATCATAAAAAGAAACAAGTTGCAGATGAACATGAGAAATATGTAGAGAATGCACTTACAAAATATTCAAAAAATACATTCTTGTTGAATGTTGACAATTCACGTCCAGAGACAATCAGTATCCTTTAATTACTAAAACTTTGTTACTTCTAGGAAACCATCTACAAACATTTTTTGCAATTACGTATAATGTGATTACACTAACTATACTAATTTGAATAATTGTAGTGTATATACTCATGTGTGGACATGGTTATCACAATCATTGTCTACAAAGATATCAATCTAAATGTTTGATATCTTCAAGTCGAAATCAAAAAAAACGTCAACACTAAAAGAAAGTATGATGAAAAATATTAAATGAAAATGAATTTATCGAAAATAACGAAAATACAGTTGATGATGATCTGGGTAATGTTGAATCAGCAACAGATGACAGCAGCAATGGAAATTTTATTAGAACAAAAATATTTTATGGGTTGTAAATTTTGTTTTTATTAAATAAATTTGTTTGATTTTACATACATTGTTCATTTTTCGTCACAATCATGTATCTTAAATTTGTTGTGTTTACAATCATTTCATTGACATTCATTATATTA